AGGTCAGGAGAGGTCTGCTACGCCATATGGGTCAGCTTCCTGGCCAGGGATCGACTCGTGCTACAGTGGCTTCAGAGAGCTTCATAATGTGTTGCCTTAATCCTTTGCAGCACCAGGCAAAGCCCCCTGCATAAATTCTTTCCTGGAACTTTTGGGATGTGTCTTGTGGACCTTTTCGTCTAGGCAGGTGCTGTATTTCACCACTAGGGGGAGCATGCGCTGCCGGCCTCAGTCGCCTGGGCATTTCTCTCAGGGACCACTGATCACTCTGCAACCAACACTCCCAGCAATCATGTCACAACCGACTAACGAAAAGTTAGTCATTTACATTCATATATAATTAATATGGGTGATTTCTTTATCACTTAGGAATATATATATATATACATATATATGTGTATATATATATATTTCAAGCAACTGAGTAAATGGAAAATATAGTTACAAAATAAACAATGTATGCAAATGTCAATAACCCTTAAAATTGCATAATAAATGTAGAAAAATTGGTAAATAGAATAGTACATTATTATATACTAGGAAAATAAGATATCATTATGATTAAGTGTGCTAAAATAAATTTTAAGGAAGATATTTTCACCTCATATATTTACTTTCTGTTCAATTTTTATATTAATTATTGAAAACAATCTGTTACAGGCCTCCCTAGTGCCACAGGGGTTAAGGCTCAGTGCTATTAAGCTATGGCCAGCCACGGGTTCAATCCCCAGCCAGGGGGGTGACCCACATGGCACAGAAAACCTCTGCTGACCCTCACATTGCTCCTTTGGCAGTGTGTTTCAGTAGGTCTGCCTGTTCTGCTCCCCCCTCAGTCTCTGGTAAATCCTCTCTCTCTCTTTCTTTCTTTCACACACACAAAACACACGCATACACTCTGCACCTCTGGCCTACACCCAGTTTGTGTATGCCTACATAAATAAAAGTAAATCTTAAGAGAAAAACAAAAGGAAAGAAAAAACTGGTAGGAAATAAATGCAGTTAATACGTAGAGATAATTATAAATTGTCTTGAAAATCTAATACTATTATATATTAGATGACAGAAAACACAAAATTTGCAGACCTTTAATTAATAATCAGTCATTGTTCTTTTAAAAAGGAAAAAACAAAGAATCTCCTCTGAACCACCACAGTTTTGTAATCTATGTTATCTCGATTACTAGAAAGTTCTAAGATGCAACTATGCAATTAATCACAATTGCAAAAATTATCTCAATAGAAATATCTTGTGTTCTTGAACTATTGTATGCTATTAGGTCAATATTTGAAAATTTTATCTAGTGTTTATTCTCTTTCACAGAGTTCTGTTATTGAAAATCAGTTAGA